CTGTGGTCCGCTGGCAGAACACCTTTTTGTTCAGCTGCCGTCGTGCTGTTGCCAAGGCGACATAAGTTTCGTTTTACGGTGGACGGACTGTGACACAGCCAGAGTTGTTGTTTTCCTTAGCATGAAATGATAACATACTTTGGACACTTTCTTCTTTGTCCCTCGCCATTTTCTCTCTCTTCCTCCATTTTGCAAACGGCTGCATTATAATCCTGTCGTGTTCACAGCATAAACGCAATGTGCGACAGTAATAAATTTCCGTGCGAAACACTGTGCTGTATAGTTACATGGATTAAACGAAGCATCGATGCAAAGAATTTGTGTCGAAGCATTTTATTAATTGATTTTATCGATTTTAATCGATAAATCGTTCCAGCCCTAGTTAACATTTATTTTATTTGGATGCATTAATCGAGTGCTCTTTACTCAGCCTTTCAGGGCCTTCAGTGTTTTGCTCTGACAATCTGTAATTCATGGTGGCGACATGGGTTCGTCTGTCTTGACAAGTATCTACACTGCTGACCCCTTGAGCAAGGCATCAAATCATTGCAGGTGTAGGGCTGCACTTATGTAGCTGGCCCTTACATCTGACCAGGCTTTGGAGTAGTACATATGACTACTCAGCCACCTGGGCTGAGTCACCCTCTCTAAAACGACTAGCTTTGGGTCCAACTCATCACTGCATACTTGTCCAGCAAACGAGAGAGGGGCGTAGCCATGATGTTACCATGGCTGCCCACTTTCAAACGGACATTCCTGTTGTGTGCCAGAGCAGGCGGCTCCTCGTTGGTTCCTTATTCGGTCAAAGTGTGGCTTGAACTCGCTGAGCAGCCCACCCAATTTAGAATATGAAGCGTGTTGGGGAGGGGAAGGCATGGGCTTCCAAGTTACTAAAATTAGGCTGTGAGTTGAGACGGGGAGGGCCATGCACAGCCTCACCAGGGTCCATTGAATGCAGACTACTGTAACGGTGATCTCACATCACCGGTCTTGAAAAGGGAAAACTTGCCTCTTAAACAATGAGAGCTCGAAAACATAAATACTTCAGATTAGTACAAATGCCAGTAAATACTTGAGAAAGTGGGAGAATAAAAGAGGCAGAGGTGGGGCTGAACAGCTCTTGCGTTTTATGTGCCTGCTCGTAAAATGTTATTGGACTGGACTTGTAAAGAGGAAACCTTTTTTCAACCTGTTAAAAGTGCACATACCTTCAAGTGCATACTTGGCCATATTATGTTCAAGCTAATTAGATAAGGCCTACAATCATCCTCATTACTCCTGAGACGTCTTGAAGGTGGTCATTACATTAGTGGCTTCATGAGCTTAGGGAAGTGACAAAGAGGTATGAACTCAGAGTATGTGTGTGTGTTTTCATGTTTTTAGATCCTAGTGGGGACTCTAACTTGAATGCACACTAACCCTTGGTGACTTGTGTCACTTTGGGGACAAACATTTAGGTCCCCACAGGTAAGAGTCTGCTTTTTGAGAGTTGAGACTTAGTTTTAGGGTTCAGGTGACAATTAAGTTAAGGATAGGGTAAGGGGCTAAGGAACGCATTATGTCAGTCCCCACAAGGATAGACGAACAAACGTGTGAGTGTGTGTGACACCGCTGGCCCCCTTGCTGACTGAGGTCTCATTGTACTGCTGCGGGGCCACGCTGTCCTGGACATAGACTCCTTGATGACATCTGACTTGAGCATGACTCACGCCCTCCACTGGGCAGCTGTGTGTGTTTGGCAATAAATAAACAGGCATCTGTTGACTCACGGTCCTTCCATTGAGCCTAAATAAAGCTTGAGAGTCTGTTAGCAGTAGTCAGCTGTTGCTGCTTCTGTGGCCCGGACGTTATCATAGCCGCCTCGCATCAGGGGAAATCTGTTTGATTCCCTGTGAAAGATGGCGTAACCGTCTGTGAGACGTGATTCATTTTTGACACAGCAGGCAAAATGGCAGGCTACACACTGGGCTTCTTGTGAATGCTGCTTGGGTTTGGAATCGAGTTGCTGGTTTACTTCTCGGAAAATGTCTTTCAACTCATGTACCTTGCCTTATAAGGGCCTTCTTGCCTCGCTGCTGTGTTATTGTGGTGCCCCCCACCCACCGGCCTAAAACTCAAACTCTACAAAAAGAACTTTGTGTTGTTGCTTTATGGTAGGTTGTCCAGAACCCCTCTTCTGTCACACTACATAATAGTGGCACTCTAGAAAGTGTTAGCAAGGTGGAGGGGGGCAATGTTTGGAGGGATGTCCTAAACCTTTTCATAGTTTTTTGTTTTGAACCGTAGACTTTATATAAATCTACACTTTAATTTATAATTTTCCACTAAGGTCAGTCTCTAAGCTGCTACTTGGAAGCACAACTATTGCTTTGGTTCCAGAAGCAGTTTTTATACCACAGGCAGCGGAAATGCAGCTCAACCAGCGTCATCAAGTAAACTAAACAAAGCACCCTCTTCGGCCGGAGCAACAGGACATTTCTGGAATAGTTTCTCCCTCCTCCCCAAATGCCCAACCCCCTCTAACTCTACCAAGGGGCCCAAGATAAGGGCAGAGGTAAAAAAAGGGGGGGAAGAGGAGCAGGAGGAAGAAACAAGCAGCGTGCCAAGTTACGGCACACAGCCTCTGAAGTTCCTCCCACCTAAAGCATCTATTCCCACTTGTTCTCCTTTATGCCCATTAGTGCTACCTATGCTCCCCATTTCCTGTAATGTGTCTCTCTAGCTGTCTGCCTCTCTCTGCAGCAGAGTGCTGCAGTCTGCTCTGCTGCAGCAGCAGAGGGTGGGAGCAATGCCATGGCTCAGAACACACTGAGAGGGAAAGAAAAGTGTGAAATGTCTGTCTCAGCTGCTGTGACCTTCTTCTTGGCCACTTGAGACACAGCACTTAGAAGACTTCTGCTTAAAAGCAGCTCATTGTGCTGAAGTACAGTAAACATCCATGTCACATGTGTCTGGCCATTGCCATGGAAACAGTTGCAGTGCTGCATTGTCACCCTTGATACAGAACTGAATGGTTCTCTATAGATGTTGCACCGCGGGGAAAATGGAGTAATCATCCCATTGATGTCTTTCTGATAACCTAAGGATCCGCTAATGCCAGTCTAGTCTAGCGATGGCCGTGGACCACGATACCCCCAACACTTCATGGCTGAAGCTTTATTTTAGAATTTAATCATATAAGGTTAACAAAGGCTGAACAAAGGCAGTGATCTAATCCAAGCTTTTCAGATATTGAATTCAGAAGGGGGGAGAGCGAGCAACCGCGGTACAATGGGAGCCAGCAGGCAGATCAAACAAAGCCATCCCACTGGGCGTCACACAGAGGACAACAGCAGCCAGCCTGTCTGCACCAGCAAGGAGCTGCTGGACTGGCACAACACTCCAGAACAAAGTCCACTATTGAAGGCCGTTTGGAACCTGGATCTAAGATACTAAAGAAATATTCTTGTAAGGTTGAGGTCAAACTGATTTTGGATCTTGTCTTTGCAAATCTGTTGGCAACTCGCTTAACAGTATTTGGGTGAAAATCCACTTGATTTTGTGTACAACTTTTGCATTAATGCACATATAGTCACACTTTGCATGTCACCTCCGCAGGGACGGATGGTCAGACCTGACTGACAACACAAGAGGCAGACAAAAACGAAACGATCTCACGGTCGCTCATCTACAGTAGAATGAATGAATGAAGAGGTGCATTCCAGAGCGCAGATACTTGAATGACCCTCCGTGCGTGTCCTCGTCAACAGATGAATACGGGGCATTCTCTTTTGGCCTGCCTTGCCTGAGAGAGAGTGGCATACCTCAACAGGCTTGGTATCTACAGTGTCGCTCTGCCCCAAGGTTACGATTTATGTCTTGTGCTGCACCATGAAATGAAAATGAGCAAATTGTCCGATTTCAGTTTCACAGTAATGGCTCTCAATTTTGACATTACATGGTTGAACTAGAAATGATGCAGACATTACTATGCGCCAGTCAGATTTCATTAAGATACTGCGCAAAGCTCAGTTAATGAAATGAAATGCTCATTCTGCCTTCTGATCCAATCCAAACCATATTCCTCTGCTCCACCCTTCTCACTCCATACATGGCTCTGAGCTGAGCAAAGTGAAGGATGATTTAGAGAGTTAGAGAAAGAGAGGAGAGCGAAGACATGGACGGTTGTTGGGACGACAGGAGATATCTCTGACAGTTTCCAGTACCCTCCCATAGCCTTTCTGTTTACTGGTGGGGGTGTGTGGATGTGTGACAGGAAGACCGAAATCACTGCAATTGTTACTGTCTCCTCCTCCACAGAGCGAGCAGACTGTTCTGTCGGAATTAAAAAGAAACGTTCATGTTGTGTTTTAATGTTTGAAATCTCAACACTGCCTTGTTTTCTGCCCGGTGCTTAATGTTCGTCATTAATTTGGGGGACACGCGCCGCTTCCATTGATCCCATCCCTGCTGCCACTGTTCAGTCTTGTGTTTGTGCAGTCTAGCAAAAGAGGAAACGAGAGACCGTCCCGGTCTTAATCACTCCAGAAGTTTCCGCTTACTCTTAGACAGTAGTTCTGCGGATTAATGGAGGGGAAGTGTGCTGAAGCATTTAAGACAAGGTGGGTCAGCTCTCCGCTCTTTCCCTTGCTACTTAAGTCTTTTTCGAGGGACAGACAGTAATCCGTATGAAAGAGTCATTGTCTGAAATGGGCCCTCTCCCTTGAGTGGGTGCAGTAAAACACCCTGGGCCGAAAAGGTTCTGCAACAGAGATGTGATCTCTATCAAGACCTTATTTTTATTTTTTTCCCATTTTGTGCTATCAGTGGGAGAAACCTGTTACAGATGTTTTTAAGATCTTTATGTGCTATCTTGTGTTTTATGCTTGCAATAATTCAGTCAGGGACATTTACGCTGTGCTTAATGGCCTCCATAAGATAGAAATAGGTGCCACTTAGCAACATATCGCTGATAGTTAATCTGCTCCTATTCTAACTTGCTATCTGTCTGTTTGTTTAAGGCGGGAAGTGATGGAGAGAGCATTGGGAACTGCCCCTTCTCCCAGAGGCTCTTCATGATCCTGTGGCTTAAAGGAGTCATCTTCAACGTCACCACAGTGGACCTCAAGAGGTGAGTCCTACTCACACTCCACTACCCCCTCCTCTTTGCTCTTCTGCCACTTGTCCTCCTTTCATTGGCTGTTTTAAAAAAAAAAAAAGGTCCTCTCTTTCTTCCTTGGATAGCCTCAGACAGCTTTTCTGGGCGTTTCCACAAAGGCCTGTACTGTAACATGCTCGCTGCTTCCCCACTGCTTATTTGGTTTTCCCACGACCCCTTTCCCAGGGCCGGAGAAAATCAGAGGAAAATAAACATAGTCCATAGACTTTGGAAAGGCTATTTAAGGTTCTTCACTCCACTTACTTCCTGCCTAGATTTTTGGTAGACAACTTGTTATTTTTCACCACTTGGATCAGAAAACGGGGATCCACTGCAATTTTGACCGCACTTTTATTTTTCCTCCCAGCTGCAAGCGAATGTGCTTTCACATGTGGATTCGAGTACCAGAAGCTCTTTACCAAACCCACTATGTTTCTGAGGGTATGATTCATCTAAATGCTCCCTAAAATGGTTTTTCCACTTGCTGAAGTGCAAGTGCCAAATTATTTTCAGGCACGGTCAGATGGACGTCTGGTTTATATGGTCTTTCTTCGTCATGTGTGTCTGACTCAAAAATTCAAGATTTCTGACGTTTTCTTCCAAATTGTGGTTCGTCCACATGGCAGCTGGTTCCTCTCTGGGCGTCGCCTCCTCTGGGACATGGAGACCACTGCTTATTGACAAAATACAATGTACTGATGTACTTGATAAGCGGCTAAAAGGAGCAAAGCAATGTCCGTTTGACTAGTCATTTGGTTTTGAAACAAGCCTGAACTTTCAAAAATGAGTGCATAGGTTCAGGTATATTTGCATACATTTTCCCTGGCAGAGGGTGTGTAACATGTATGCTGACATCCTGTAAAGGGCATTGGAGGATGTCCGCCTACTTGGCAGTGTCTGTGTACTCCTCACTCCTCAAACATCCCCTTTGTTCAGATGGAGTGACAACTTATTTATTTATATTAGGACGAGTCTGTTGTAAAAGCAGGCGCGTTTGCCACATTTATGGCTCATTTATTGTAGTATTTAAATGGAAGAACTGTGCATGAACTCCTGTAGAAGGACATACATGTCACTGCCATAAGTCTTTTATCTTTTAGTGTTTTATCCTCCCTGAGGTGACCTCTTATCTTGAGTCAAGGCTGTCGTGTTAATATTTGTTTCTGTGATGAAAGCCTGTGATTCTCAAGGTTTGTTATCCACTCCTCAGTTATATTATTGGGTGAGTGTGCCACATCCCCTTTGCATACCGAAGAGTTGAAGTCATTTCCCTTTTTTCTCCTTTGTGTTTTTTTTATTTTTTTTGTGCCCTCAGATGGTCATTGTGAATTTCGTCATACTAAAAGCCTCGACCATTTTAATGGTTTAATGGTTTTAGTCTGTATGTCTAGATGTTGTTGCTGGATACATTAAATCAAAGATGATTCACGCTCTGTCAGATCTATTAGGCTCTTACAGTTGCTGTGTTTTTATGTTGTATTTATGCTGTGATGATTTAAGCGCCTGGGTTCTGTGGATTTTCACGAGTCAGTTGTGTTGGCACTGCTCATTCAACACATACTCATTTTTGTTTATGTGTCAGTGTCATCTGCCTGCCAGAGACATCTGGTACAAAATGTGCTGGTTTGAAGGCCGCAGAGAGAAAGGGACACACAAACAAAAAAATGCAGTCTGCTTTTAAAGAACCACAGCCACCGTAATTGCTCGACCTTGCTTGAAATCTATGAAATGAATGTGTGTTTTAACCAGGAAACATCAGACCAATTTTGAATCTTGTATCTCATATACAGTAGTTACTCACGATTTGAAGACCGATTTTGCAAGTCTTCAAACTTGCCGTCAGTCAGGGGGTGATCGGGGGCATTTTAGTGCCAATCGGCACTTGATCGTTGAATCGTACTCAACGATGCATTTAAGATGCTCGCCAATGCGAGACAGATATCTAGCATGCTAAATATCTGGAGCTGTCGGCCGACTCCACATCCAGCCAATGAGAGCAGGCAGCTGGCAGAGCAGGCAGCTACTTTTTCACTACAATCCTTGCATACAGTCACGTAGTGTGAACACCACAACGACTTCAAGACTCCCAATTACAAGACAGCAATGTGTGTAGTCTGAACAGCACAGCGGCCTGCCGACGTTAAGACATGTAGTCTGCACCAGGCATTATATGTGAGGATGAATGCTACTTTTCCTTGTTAGATCCACAAACATGCATCATAAAAACAACCTTGTAATTGGTTGCACTGCTTGGTTCTGTTTGTTTCAATCCACTAAAGCTGCTCCACGTCTCTTCCAGGAAGCCTGCAGATCTGCAGAACCTGGCCCCGGGCACACACCCGCCCTTCATCACCTTCAACGGCGAGGTCAAAACCGACGTCAACAAGATCGAGGAGTTCCTTGAAGATGTCCTTTGCCCACCCAAGTGAGTGCTTTCTCACCCCTGTGGCAACACTTTGACACACCTAAACACCCTGCTCTCCACTGCTGTCATGAGCACACTGTAAACTTCTAAATGCTGTTTTGACACGTAATGAAGCGTGGAGGCCTTTTTGTATGGATTTAAACTGAGGCAAATGTTTTACTTAAAAGATAAGGATTGAAATATTCAATAGCTTTCTCTTTGTCAACAAATCCTGTGAAAAGACTAATGTATGTCTCTCAATACTTTGACTTCCCCAGCCTGTCTGCTTATTTGTTCCTACTGAAGAAAAAAAAAATGATTACAAATATATACTTTATTTTTTATGTAAACACTACAGCCACTGTAGCTAACAGTACTCAGCAGGAGTAAATAGTATTAAGTAAATCATATTTTTGGACAACACAGAAAATTGCCAAATCAGGGTTTGGCATTGATAACTTCTGTCTTTTTTTTATGGGGTTTGTTTGCGGGTACAAAGTTAATAACAGCATATAACCAAAAGTGCTGATACATAGTGATTTATACCTGTATTAGCTGTAACAGTGGGGTTACAATGAGTGGAGAGTGCAAATAAAGGGTTGTGCGTACATCATGTACATTAAGCTGATGATACACAGGGCAACCTTTTGAGCAATGTTGCTGGGCAATGTTGCTAGTGGCAAGTAGTGGTGGGGGAAGGAGATTACGGTAGTAATCTTTACTCATTACCATTGACGGCAACGTTGCCCTGCACGATTGCTCTAAAAGTTGCTGTGTGTATCATCAGCTTTACACCTGTGTGTGTTTACTTGTGTGCAGGTACATCAAGCTTGGTGCAAGACACCCAGAGTCAAACACAGCTGGTATGGACATCTTCGCCAAGTTTTCAGCATACATTAAGAATTCAAAACCAGATGCTAACGAGGGTAAGCGTACTGCGTACACACAAACACACACACTCACACTCACTCTCACTCACTCGATTGGTTAAGAATGGCCATCCAGAGACCTTCTACTGTGTAGGGAGAGTTCTCTGGTTGCTAGGCGACACTGGTAGCCCTGCCCTGATTGGTGGATTACCGCTCGGGAACACAGAGCTTTTGTTCTGCTACCTTCTCCTGTCCTTGTGCCACCTGTCTCACCTGGTGGCGCTTTCTGGAAAAAACACAGAGCAGCTATCCTGAGAATGAGCTAGTCCTCACAACCTTCCTTTTCTTGAGTTACACACCTCTGTCCCTGCTGTAAGACAAAGGCCGTATCACAAGCTCAACAGATATGGCTTTTGGAATAATATGAAAAATATGAAAGGGTGTGGCCTCATAGATTCTGTTACATCCTGGGTGGAACAATATGTGAATTTGTTCCCCTAGAAAGATGTTTATGGTATTCACAATAACCCCAAAGATTTTGTATCACGTTTTAGTTGGCTGTTCTCCACCCTGAGAAAATATTGAACCATGGTGAGCTGGATGTGAAAGCCCAAGGCTGTGTCAACAGAGTTTGAGGCCGAATCTCATGGTTCAGTGATAAGTGCTCTCGAAAGTAACAGGTCGAGTCTACTGTTGAACTTCTGAAGTGAACATTCATGTCATATTTTCCAACAATGGAATGAATTGTTAATAATCTATAGTGGATTGATATAGGGTGATGGCCAAGTAGAACACCTGTGCAATCAAATACTATCTATTGAAATGTGTGGTGGTGGGTAATAAGCTTCTGAAAGTCTTGGCTTGTACAGGTGTTTGTGATATGTCTGTTTCCAGTATTAATAATGTGTACATGTAGGCAAGGGTTTGTCTGTTGATGAAATGCTGCCCCCATGTGGTTGACCAGCATATGGACATAGCAGGTGTAGTAGGAGGCCTCAGGAAAAGCCATGACAAATTCACACAGTCAGAAGTAGATTATTTGTTCATACTGAATGTATAATTTAAAAACAGCTTTTACTGTTTCTATAATAACCTCTTGTGTTTCCTTGCAGGTCTGGAGCGCGGACTTCTGAAGACACTGCAGAAGCTGGATGAGTATCTCCACTCCCCACTGCCTGATGAGATCGACCACAACAGCATCGAGGATGTCAAGGTCTCCAACCGCAGCTTTTTGGATGGGGATGAAATGACTTTGGCTGACTGTAACCTCCTGCCCAAGTTGCACATAGTCAAGGTGAGCAAAAAAGCATATTAAACATCACTGATATGTTGTTATAATACAACACCCATAGAACCCCCCCCCCCTAATTTAGCTAATTAGATTTCTTCTCAGGATTGTGTCGGAGCGTTCAGACTGTACTTGACAGAAATCTCCTTCACTCAGTCTGTTTGGAACAAACTTCAACTATTGGCACATTGAGATAGTTGACCTCACATATCTCCCAGCATAGCTCTACCCAACTTCAACCTGAGCAGTGGGGAAATTAGCTAAAGTGGAAAAACCCGTGTGTGGGTGTGCAGGTAACTTATCCCACCCAAACAGGTGTTACAAAACTAATAGGAGGGTCAAGGAGATGTCTGTCAAACAAAGTCTTTGCACACACACTCCCAAGGAGTTTAAAAAAGCAAAATGAGTGAAAACACCTGTGAGTACACAATGGGTATGTAGGGCTTATTTTTTTTTTTTTTTTAAATAAGCCATTGTTTTGAAATAAAAACTATCCTCACACTCAGGCTAATCATATTGTGGGTGCTTATGTTTATTTTTTTAAACTAAAATTACCATATTTCCCATGAGTGATCACGTTTTATATTGTTGCAAAGATGTTGATGCAACTGTGTAGGGCTGCAACTCATTATGATTTTCCCATTGTCAATTAATTCCCAAAATAACTATTTTCTCAATGAATCATTTAGTTTATGTAAATAAAGTTTTTTAAAAAAATTTTCCTTCCTCCAGGTTGTGGCCAAAAAGTACAGAGGCTTCGACATTCCCAAAGAGATGACTGCCATCTGGAAGTACCTGAACAACGCTTACACGCGTGAAGAGTTCACCAACACCTGCCCCAGTGACAAAGAGATTGAGATAGCCTATGGCGACGTAGCCAAGAGGCTGGTGAAATAAGCTCCTCTGTCCCCGACCTCCTCCCTTCATACCCCCCCCCCAACACACACACACACACCCCGACACTACCCCCTTCCCAGCACAGGGAATTATTTGCTCCTTCACGAGAAAGAAAAAAACAAAAAACTCTGGACTTCTTTTCCTTCTCCCCTCATCTAGAGCGAACCCCAATGCATGAATCCTGCTCTGTCTTTTTTTGTTCATTTGTTCCTCTCCATTCTCTCCAATTTTTATGGAGACCTCCTTTAGTTGATTCAGCAAAGGCCACCTTGTTGCACCTTTCATCATTAATTGCTTTTGTTATTCATTTGCTGACGAATGTTAAGAAACGGTGAGGTGTCGAAGTAGCAGCCAGACATGTGCATCAACACTTATCAACGTTGGGAGCCTCGTCAAACACTCTCCCTGATAAGTGACCTTCAAGCTGACCTTCTCTCTGCATGCATTGGAGAGTTCACATGCTGCTGTCTGTTTAATTCTGAAATCGCTTTTTCTAGGATTGCTGAGCACTGAGGAGAAAGCTTGTCTTTTGGCTTAAGAGGCGTTGTAAACAGTGTTGAAGCGTCAGTGTTTTTGGCTGAAGTCTGACAGGTTTAAGTAGAAGCTGAAGCTAATCCAAACCTGAGTGGTTGACATATCAAGTGCTTTATTTTTAGTGTTAAGCTGTTTCAAATAAATCAGAATAATTGTAACTGCAGGTAAAGCTACCTGGCATCCATGCTCTGATCTCGTCATTGCCTCAAATAGGCAAAAGTCTTGTAGCTTAGCTCCGTAGAATTTGAAGGGACTTTCCTGTACCGGCTGCAGAAGTAACAACTCAGGAAAAATTCTAACCTGAGATCTAAGAAGTATCCAACCGTATGTAGCTTACAGATGTGTACAAGTCTAGACCAGCCTTTTTGTTAATCATCACATTGCCATATAAAATGTTTAGACACTGACACACTGAGCAGACTTTCTTTTATGAAGCATGAAGGAAGTCTTCACTTTGGTCGTGCTAACTGTAGCGGTAGTTTGGAATACACATGGCAGACCAAAAAGGGGCACCATATTCTGGTCTCACTGGATAGGATGACTCCGGCTATATGTAAGCAAATTAAGTGTGGTTTTTTGCTTTTGTTTTTTTTTAAAAGGGGGGGGAAACCACACACACTTACTGTTTCCTTCTCCATAGTAGACTGAATGAAGGACGCTAATGTGCAGTCAGGCACCAGGAAAGGCGACACTAAAGATATTTATGAAAAAATGTATTGAAGAGAGTAGCAATGAGGTGAATACGTGGTTGGTCACTTTTCTCTTCCGTATGTAGATTGATCTGAGGTAGTGAATGTATGTTATGATACAGTAGCTCCAAAAGTGCTTTAGCACGGGTAAAGCAAAATCTGTTTTCTCCCGTTTGCCATGTTTTTCAGACACTTGTTATGAAGCGAATTTGATAAAAAAAAAAAAAACAAGAATTGTAAATATTTGTTTTGAATTTTCAGAATTCAATGTGTAAATTTTATACATTTCATCATAATTTTGAGGAAGACACACCTGCTTGGATTTTAATTCTAGATCAACCATCTCCTTTTTGCCTTACTTCTTTTTCTCTGCAGATGTTTTGAAGGAAGGTTTTTCAGAGATGATTTCATTACAACATAAGTGTGGCGTTGTACAAAGAAAATATCCAAGCTATGTCATGGCTTTTTTTTTAACAATATTGACTGAATTGAAATAAACTTCTTTTTGGCTTTCTGACTTGTGTTTTTGTATAGGCCTTTAGTGTTATTTTAAGTATCTTGTCATTCACTATAAGAGACTGGGCTGCCTTGGGCCCTCAATTCTAGGCACTGTTTGGATGGTTTTAGATTATCCAAATGTTCATGGCCCATACCAATATCCCATAGCAATCTGAGCGAGTTCCCCCTTCACATTTAAGACTAGTAAGAGACCTAACATCCAAGAATACCAGTGACCAAAAAGAGGCTTCCTATGGTCATCACTCAGTTTGAGTGGCTTAAACCGGCTCTGTTGTATAAACTGCCCAGCTTATGAAATGGAACTGTTATCCAGCCTTTTATTTTTAGCCTTTAACTTTACAGTTAAGCTTGAAGGTTCTTTCCTGACCAGTTTGACAAAGAAAGCTCTCAATATTAGTTCCAACTTACTTGTTTCCAAAGCTTTTAAAACACATCTTGTGGCCATCTGCAGTTGTAGAGATGACAAATGGCTGACTACATCGCCTGTGGGACACCACGCATTGGACAATGTAATGAGAGGTTTTTGTAAAAATTCCTTACTTTAAAGGTCTCATCTGTGGATTGAACATTGGCGCCATATTTTCCTGGTCTACCGTTTTAGCTACTTTGTCTGGATGCTTTGAGATGCTGAATGTGACAGTTTGAGATTTTTGTTGCCCTGCATATCCAATACTTATGTAAAGTAGCAGGAAAAAAGTATGTGAACCCTTTGGAATTACCTGGATTTCTGCATAAATTGGTCATAAAATGTGATCTGATCTTCATCTAAGTCACAACAATAGACAAACACAGTCTGCTTAAACAAATACCAAAAAATTATGTTTTCATGTTTTTATCGAATACACCGTGTAAACGTTCACAGTGCAGGTGGGAAAAGTATGTCAACTCTTGGATTTAATAACTGGTTGACCCTCCTTTGACAGCAAAAACCTCAACCAAAGGTTTCCTGTAGTTGCAGATCAGACCGGAATATTCTTGGGATGTGTGGTGTGAATCGCTCTCTTGAGGTCATGCCACAGCATCTCAGTCGGGTTGTGGTCAGGAGTCTGGGCCCAGGTTTACGCAGACGTTTTGAATTGGTGTTACTGATGGCATTAATGACGGCTCTGTTCTATTAGAGTGTCTTAGTGAGCCAACATACACAATGCCAGGACCCTAAAACTGAAGCATCTAAATGGAATTCAGCCATCATTAATTTTATTTACACCTGTGACCTGTCCAAATGCCCTGCAATGGACTGGCGACCTGTCCAGGGTGAAAATAACTTATTAGTAAAGGTGCTATATTTTCTAAATTCCTAAATGTAATTTCTTGAAAATGACATAAATCTGGATTTATCATGTCATATTATTTCATTTGATCTGCTAACACTGTCTTAAAAAACAGGTGTGTGTCAGTACAGGGGAAAATACATACAGTATTTAGGCCATTTGTACCTGCAGCGTAAACACAACCTAAATAGCCGACAGAGGGGCCCGGGTACCTTGAGGGACCTCCATGAGCTCCTCAACAAACACAAAAAAGGGACATTTCACTCTTTAAAAGTATAATCAATGCAAAAATGTATTATTTTAGGGAATGTTTTTGGGAAGCGTTGCATTCCTGTACTATAACATCAGCATTAGAAATATCTCATATTTGGGTTTCTTTCTTTGCACTCTATTGTTAGCCACTGTTTCAGAAATACGGATAACTTTGGGAACCCCTGGGCAAAAGCATGTTTGTTTACTGCTCTCCGTCTCCAAGGAATGTCTCGTGTGTGTCCACCCACTGTGGGCTCCACCTCCCCCTGATGACACCCTCTGGCTGTCAGCTTGATGATGTTTTTCAGCCAATTCCCTACTGTTCTGAAGCACAAACAAGTCTATTCTGCAGGGCTGATTGCAGCCAAAGTTTCGCAAGAGAAGGGGAGAAAAAGGTGTGGGGGCGTACAGTTTTTGGATGCTCTCCAGATCATTAAAGTGTCATGTTTCAGCCACACACATTCTCTACTCCCTTACTGGTGTACACTAAGACATGGCCTCCACTTGTAATTCACAGGGAGGAAATCCACCCAGACGTAAACAGACAGTGTGTGTGTGTTGTGTGTATGCGTCTGTCAGTGTGAGGTAAGAGAATACACAACAAGGCTGGCTATTATTCAGACCACACACTCATTACAAGCAGGGTGAGTGTATTAGTGTAATTGGGTAATGAAGGTGAGTATTGTTTCTCAAACATGTTGACTGTGTGTGTGTGTTTAAAGAGCAGGGCTATATTACACACCATGAGAGGGAGCCAACATGTCAGCTAAGCTATGAACACAGATTACAGTGACAGTTGTTTCCTTGGATTTTTCTTTGTCAGGATGAGAAGAACGTGAAGCCTTGATATCATTTTTGCTATCGTGCTTTTATTTTAACAGGTAAATCCATCAGCTGTGTGTTTTTCTCTACCAAGTAGCTCAGCGGAACCTTTTCTGTTTGGCATCAACTCTTTCTCTGCAGCGCCAGTTCAGTTTGCAGGTTTCACACAACACCCATTTATACAGCTGGCTAAATATTTACACTGGTAAAGTAGCTCGCTCAAGGGTACACAGTGATATCCCAACTGGGTTTTGGACCTACAATGTGTGAACCTTCTTTGCATATGGACTCTGTGCACCTGACAGTTGATGTGGCTACATAGGTTGCTTTGTATTTAGTTAACCCTGTTGATTGACAGCACAAAGGCCTATATATATATATGAGTGATGGCTGCAAGAATATTAGGATTCTCTCAATTTGAAAATAATATGTTTGTTAAAATATATTTATATTTCTAATTTGCCCATTTTTATTTCATTCATACACATTATGTCATGACAGTTTAAAATGAAAGGAAAGGATGAATGTTATGTGTATGCCATTTTCACGGCTACTGTTTGTTTTTATAAAGATATTGATTTTAGATATTAGATTTAAGTTATTTTAAGATATATAAGCCACAAGTACCATTAATGCTGGGCTTTTTAGTGTTTTTAGAGAAGGTGGACATTACATTTACATTTACTCATTTGGCAGATGCTTTTAACCAAAGCATACAAGCATCAATAAAGCATCAATACAGAGGGTTACAAACAATATTTTGAAGTAGGTATGCAAATACATACATTTTTAGCTTCTAAATGATAAATATTTTTAATTTTAAAAAAGTTGGAGGGCTAAAAGGATTATTGGATCCCAACCTTTCTGGGACTATAACAAAGCAGCATCTACTTGTTATTTGTTTATGGATTATAATCAAGTCAAACAAAGATTGCCCCACCCCACCCCATTCTGTATTTTGAGAGACCTTTAGAGACCTTATTGAGGTAATTCTATTTTGTAATTCATACAAATTATAAGGAAACATCTTACCTTTTAAAATTTTTTTATAAGTTTGTGTATCATAAATAACCCCCCCTTCCATCCTGCTAGTCCAGACCACCAGGTAAGGAACAAAAAGCCTGCGGTCATGGAAGTTTTCATTTCCTATTTTTCAATTACAACCAATTCAAATTCAAATTAGGAAACATATCTGATGTCAAGATGTTGAAGCAAAATAAAAGGTTTTTAGCTGTCTAAACACGTTATGAAGCAGCTGCACTTGTGTGACTTGTAAATTAACTAATAACGGCTATAAATAATGGCTGTGTTCCACTCAGGTGAGACGGTGTAAGATCTTGGTATTTCAGGCTACGTGCTGGTTCAGGGGCAGGATACTGGCACACATGAATGGAACCAAACCGTAATTAATGTTATTAGTTTCTCCTGCGCCTTCTCTGCAATGAGAAGTCATAATGTTTGCTAGAGAAAGGGTTTAAATAATTGATATGACACCATTATAATTACGCAGTTGTTATGGAATAGTAGCTCCTTAATGTGGTTAATGTTCAAAACCAGCTGTTAATGTGACTCAAACAGCTAATGAGCCAATCAGAACCAAGCAACAGTAGTGAAAGTCTATGGTGAAAACAGAGCAGCTGCTAGCTTGGGACAGACCACACGGTGAGTTGTTGTTGGGTAAGTTAGCGGTGAAGTTCAGGCATTTCTGCCAGACTACAGTACTGCAGACCTCACAGCCCCCATAATGCTTTCCATGCCCTTTATCTACTCTTTACATCTCCAGCAATGTTGGCCTTTATTCCGAAAATATGTTGGCATGTGCTCGCGCCCTTCTCAATACTCGTCGTCTGCGACTAGTTAGCAAGAGCGCCGAGGGTATGTTGATCCTCCCATCAAGGTGTATTTGTCTTGCCAAACATCTTCAAGTCGTACAAGCTGTCATTGACCCATCATCTTGTATGTCTTTTTTGGCAGCTGCTGAGGCTTTTTTTGTCTGGTGGCATGTAGTTACTCATGGCTAGGCCTATATATAGTGATAGCTCTGAAAACACATCAGTATGCTAAGAGTGATGCGGAGTGGCACACTGGAGGAAAGCATGAAACTCGAGAATATTCCTGTATGTTTGGTGTGTCTGGCTCTGAATGGGGTTCAAGTACACTGAATGTAAATAGTTTGGGAATATATCCGGTTTCAAGACTCGAACAAATGGTGCATTTTAAAGTGTCTGTTCACCCAAATTACAAAATATTTTCCTCATTTCTTGTGATATAGACTAGACATCAGCCTCAGATTTCTGGCTCCACTCCAATACAATGCACGTGATAATGATTTTTTTTGTGGTACTCGCATCACAAATCACATCTCAAAAATCACATAAAAACCAAAAAAACACATAAAAACAACTAACATATCTTTACATAAACAGCGTCCTTTACACAGAACTATGACTAGCAGCGGTGGACAAAGTTTTTGAGATCTTTAATTTGGTAGCAAAATCACCCTGTGAAACTACTGCAGGTAAACTCCTACATTTAAAGTAAAAGTAGATATTTACTGTAAACAAAATGTACATAAATTGTCTTCATCCAGAAAATAGTCATAGGCTACATATAGTATACAGTGCACACTGCCTCTGTGACAAACACTCACT